GGCCCGGGCCCCCGGCCCGGGCGGGGGGCCGCCCCCCGCCGCTCTCCTCCATGTCCAGGAGCCTGAGGGGGAGCAGCGAGTGAGCACAAGGACAGAGTCCAGGCCTCTGCAGCCACTCAGCTCAGACAAAGCGGGGAGCTGGGGCCCTGCTTCAGGCTCTGCCTCCCCCCCCACGCCCTGTCATGTGCACCTGCGGGCCATGCATCCTGCCCCTCGGCCCACCCCACCTTCACTCTGGCTCTGAACACACTAACATCCCCCCAATTCTGCGGCAGAGGGGCAGGACTGTTGGGGGGCATGACAGTGTGTCACTGTCAGCCGCACGGGGAGCTGAGAGGGTTTCCCTGATATCATAGCAGGGTATCTGTCAGGGAGGCACGTGTGGGGCTGGGGAAAGGTACCATCTGTGTGGCTATGTGAGGGCTCTTCTGTGGGGTGGGGGTCTCCTGTGGAGCAGCTGTGGGGGCTGAAGTCAGGATGGGGGACTGTTGGGGTGACAGTCAATGTTTCCTCTAATTTTTTCTATCCGTGTGTGGAATAGATGTTGTTCTGTGCACCAAAGCTTGTGAAGATGTGCACCACCAGTAGAAACAAAACCAAGCTGTGGGACTCTCCCCAGGCGCCGGGCTCACAGGGAACGCTGGTGACGGTCTCCTGGGGAGTAGCGGGGGGGAGCTGACATCCCTGCAGGACGGCTCCTGGAGGGGGTCTCCCTTGGGAGGAGGCAGCTGTGGTGGTGTTCATGTCACTACAGGAAGTTGCTAGGGGGCATCTCCTGTAGAACAGTATGTTGGAGGTGTGTGCGAGGGGGTGAAGGTCAGCTGTTTGGATGTCTTCTGTGACAGGTTGACCTGCTGTGGTGAGTGGCAATGGAGGTGTTGGCAACTCCCCAGGGAGGTTGTTGGCAGGGGCATGTCTCCTGTAGGGTTGTTCATGGCACCATAGGGAGGCTGTCGGAGAAGGGAGACATCTTCGGTAAGGCAGCCATGTGGGGAATGACGTCACTGTGGAGTGATTGATATTGCCATGAGGCAGCTGCACGTGTGTGTGTGGACGGGGCGGGGGAAGAGTTTGCTGTTGCTATGGAAGATTGAGGGCCCCTGGGGGTGATTGTTGGCGGACGGTCTGTGGAGGCACTCATGTTGCCATAGGTTGGCTGTATGTGGGAACACCTCCCAGGGAATGGGGTAGATGTTCCCATGACAGACTGATGACTCCTGGGGGTGGTTGCTGTGGAGATGGCAGCTGTGGAGCAACTGACATTGTTGTGTGTTTGTGTGTGTTTCCGAAAGTATGGTGTTGACAGTGCTGGGGTGGGTTGACATTGCCAGCAGTGGCTGCATGTGGAGATGTCTCTCAGAGGATGGTGCTGATATTGCCGGGGGAGGTTGATATCCCCTTGGGGGAATGGCTGGGGAGGGGTTGCAATTGCCATGGGGAGGCTGTGTGGGGACAGTGTTGCCATATGGGGAAGGTGTTGCCATTGCCCTGGGGTGGCTGTGAGGGGACGGTGTTGTCACTGCCATGGGCGGCTGTGAGGGATGGTGTTGCCATTGCCGTGGCTGGCTGTGAGGGGACGGTGTTGCTGTGAGGGGACGGTGTTGCCATTGCCGTCGGTGGCTGTGAGGGGACGGTGTTGCTATGAGGGGACGGTGTTGCCATTGATGAGGGGACGATGTTGCCATTGCCGTGGGTGGCTGTGAGGAGACGGTGTTGCCATTGCCGTCGGTGGCTGTGAGGGGACGGTGTTGCTATGAGGGGACGGTGTTGCCATTGATGAGGGGACGATGTTGCCATTGCCGTGGGTGGCTGTGAGGGGATGGTGTTGCAATGAGGGGACGGTGTTGCCATTGCCGTGGGTGGCTGTGAGGAGACGGTGTTGCCATTGCCGTCGGTGGCTGTGAGGGGACGGTGTTGCTATGAGGGGACGGTGTTGCCATTGATGAGGGGACGATGTTGCCATTGCCGTGGGTGGCTGTGAGGGGATGGTGTTGCAATGAGGGGACGGTGTTGCCATTGCCGTGGGCGGCTGTGAGGGGACGGTGTTGCTATGAGGGGACGGTGTTGCCATTGATGAGGGGACGATGTTGCCATTGCCGTGGGTGGCTGTGAGGGGATGGTGTTGCAATGAGGGGACGGTGTTGCCATTGCCGTGGGCGGCTGTGAGGGGACGGTGTTGCTATGAGGGGACGGTGTTGCCATTGATGAGGGGACGATGTTGCCATTGCCGTGGGTGGCTGTGAGGGGATGGTGTTGCAATGAGGGGACGGTGTTGCCATTGCCGTGGGCGGCTGTGAGGGGACGGTGTTGCTATGAGGGGACGGTGTTGCCATTGATGAGGGGACGATGTTGCCATTGCCGTGGGTGGCTGTGAGGGGATGGTGTTGCAATGAGGGGACGGTGTTGCCATTGCCGTGGGCGGCTGTGAGGGGACGGTGTTGCTATGAGGGGACGGTGTTGCCATTGATGAGGGGACGATGTTGCCATTGCCGTGGGTGGCTGTGAGGGGATGGTGTTGCAATGAGGGGACGGTGTTGCCATTGCCGTGGGCGGCTGTGAGGGGACGGTGTTGCTATGAGGGGACGGTGTTGCCATTGCCATGGGCGGCTGTGAGCGGACGGTGTTGCTGTGAGGGGACGGTGTAGCGAGTGCGGCTGTGCGCCGGGGCTGACACCACCTCAGGGAGCACAGCCTGGCTCTGGGGTACCTCAGGACTCAGGAATTTGCAGCGGGCTCTGTGCAGTTCTCCCAGCCCGCACTATCTGACTGACACTGCTAAGGGGCCAATCACAGCGCCTCTTTCAGCCGTTTCGCCAGTGGACCAATCGTCTTTCTGCTTTCAACTCACCGTCTGGCGTATGCCCAATCAGGAACGGCGTCCCTTTTCCCGCCTTCGAGCAGCTAATCAGGCTCGTGCTCCCCTCATGGGCAAGGGAGGCTCGAGCGGCCGCTGGATTCCCGCGCTCCCTTGGAGCCAGCCAATCAACGGCCGGATAATAGGGAAGGCGGGAACCTCCTGCGGTGGGGACCGAACCATCTGGGAGAAGGGAACGGGGAGCTGCTGAATTGAACCATTGTAAATATAGGGGAGCTGCTTCGTTCTGTACCGTAGGGTTAATGAGGACTGAACCATTATGCAAATGGGGACAGAACCATGTTGGGGAGGGGGGTGTAAAACGGTAGGGATGGGACTGACTGAACCACTGGGTAAATAGGGGGCAGAAACACTGATCCATACAGGTGACATCCCCCCATGCAAAGTCTCTGAAGGGGCAGACCAAGGTAATAATTCCCAGCATGCAATGCGCCAGTGCGGCCAAGGGAGGTGGACGAGTTCCCAGACCTTTGGTATGACTCAGTCTGACGGTTCCTATGGTCTAACACCTCCCAGCATGCACCACGGCAGAGCGGCCATGTAGGTGGAAGCTCCCAGCATGCTGTGCTGCTGCTGTTCCCAGTGCGAATGGCAGTCGGCCTTGCTCTCAGGACAGGGCTGTTTCCCCCAGTCTGGGACATTAACCTCAGTTTTCCAGCAATTCCCCACAGGGGCCCAGCGCAGCTGGTGAACGCCCTTTGCAGTGTCAGTGGGATAAGACTGGGCCCTTAAACTCCTGTCCCAAAGTGCTACTGGTGGTGGTAAGATGCAGCTGGGCTCCATTCCAGAGGGGCCGCATGCCAGCACCAAGCAAGGGGTCCCTCTGGAACCAGCCCCTTCTCACCCCAGAGGGGCCAGGTCCCAGCGCCAGGCGAGGGATCCCCGTATAACCCCAGGGGGCCGTGTCCCAGAGCCAGGTGAAGGGATGTCGCTCGTGGGCTGTCAGCCTACCGTTTGTTCGGGTGGAAGGAAAATCGATTCTCTCTGTGATTTGGTTCCTGAAGGTTGCAGCGGCGACATTAGGAGTAATTGTGCAGTGCTGAACCCAGAGCTTAAAACTCCTCCGTGGGAGTCCAGTTTCAAAGCAGCAGTACGGCGTGGAGCCCTGGGTCAGCTGGGGCCTCCGTAGCTGACCCTGGGCTCCGTGTGGCATTTCGAAGCGGCAGCGCTGCATGGAGCCCGGAGTCAGCCGAGTCCCCCGCTGGGGCTCTTGTACATTTCCAAGGCGGAACGCGGAAGTGCCCATGGACTAGTTGACTAGTAAATGAATCGATATTTTTAACATCCTTAAGTCCCACCAGCCCCTCTGCTCAGGGAGAGGAGTGAGGAGCAGTGGTTAGAGCAGGAGGGGGCTGCGGGCCAGGAGCAGTGTTCCCTCTAATTGTTTATGCCTGTGTGCAGAATGGATGTTGTGATCTGCACCGCTACGGAGAACGTGCGACAGGGAGGGGATGTGTGAACCATCGTCTCCGGGCTGGGGCACATCGCAGAATTCACTGCCCGGGGCCCATCTGCACAGTGCCGGGAGGTGAGTCCCTGCGTTTTCCTCATGGTGGCAGCAGCGACATGAGCAATAACCCCAGAGCTTAAAACCCTCCCTGAGCCCAGGAGAGAAGCCAGGAGTCCTCCGCTCTAACCACTAGACTCCCCTGCCCTCCCAGAGCTGGGCAGGGAACCCAGGGGTCCCGGCTCCCAGCCTGGCCGGGGGATCACTGACGTAAGGCTGCCCATGGCAGGGGAGGAGGAGTTGGCAGCCCGAAAGTGAAAGCGAAAGCCCCGTGTGCTGCCCAGTCTCAGCCTTGCTCCCAGCCGGGAAGCTTCTGGTCCAGCCTCGGCTCCGCACGGCTCCTGCCAGGTTTGTGCCCGGACTCCCGGGTTCTCTCCCCGCTCCGTGGGGCTGGGGGGCTGGGACCTGGGGGCTTGGGTCTGGGGCAGGAAGCACTCAGGTGAAAATGGGGGATTCCCTCCGGTCAGCTGGAGTCCGGAACCGGCTCCGTACAGAAGGGGCCACGCGGGAGGTCGGACTAGAGATGAACA